CTCACAATTTTTATCTTTTTTTCAAATTGCAACTTGAATTTCTCGAAAACTGAGTTTATCAGCTCGCATTTTATGAACATTGTGTTTATCGTGTCTGTTTTACCCTAAAAACACCAAATTGCGAGTTGATTTGAAAAATTCAAGTTTGAAAGTTCGAAAAACTTTCGCGACCTCAAAAAACGCAAAATTTACAAAAACCTCACATGTTTNTGNTAAACTCACACTCGGCCGCTATGCCACCGTATCCCACTTCGCTTTTTCGATGCGGTTTTTTTGAATTTTTATTCATTTTCATGTGAATTTTTATATCCACAATACATACATTTTTGTACAAATTAAAGACAACGTTTTGGTTAATTTCATTAGGTCCTTACCTTTTTGGGAAACACAAAATCATGCATCATGACACTATCCGTAGTCTGTTCAGCAGCAATAACAGTGTAGCCATTGGCACGAAGACCTTGAAGGTACTCCAACAAATTCGCCCGTTTCACTGCCTCAATATTCTGCCAGTTTTCAGAACTCATGCTTAGCGCCTTGAAATTTGAGTCTTGTGCCACTAAAACGTCTGCCACGACGAGAGTATCGACTCCGAAAATTTCAGAGGTTCTGCAAATTCCACCGAGATTGTTGGGTTTATCAACGAGAGAAGCGACAACGATCAGGGAAACTCCGTCATCCTTCACTTCTGTATCTTTTACAATTTTTCTTTGGAATGAGGATGTAGTTGTTTCTTCTTCTGTTTCTTCTGGAATCTCATCCAAATCCACGGTGTCTTCGTTCTCCATACTCGGAGCACAACTTGCATTCTTGGATAGCGCTGAATATACATCTGAGGGTGCTGATAGAAGCGTTGAATCATTATTCGAGGATTTGATTTGATTCTTGATAGTATTCAATTCTTCTATAATCTTTTCTGGAATCGTTTCCTCTGCTGGCATTCCTGTTCGACTTGCGATAAGCGAAAGCACAGTATGGAAGTCAAAGTGATCATCGATATGGAGTTTGGCAAAGTAAAAATCGGAACAGAGATTGTCAATGACTCTTCTAGAGTTTCCAGAAGGTTCCGCATCAAAGTAACAATGGATTTGACGAGTCTCCATTTCTTCCGACGATCCTTGTCGAGTGTGGAGAACATGAGACGGGCTGCTGCGAGAGCACTACATCTGACAGGGAAGTTTTGAGCTGTACACCAGACGATGACCTTTTCAAGGCATTGGTCCACATTTTTCGGAGAAGCACGAGATATGAGCATGAGAACGTTCAACCAGGAAGACATCGAACCGATTCGTTGAGCAGCCATATTTCTCTGAATTATATATTGATAAATAATACCGAAAGACCTGTAATAGAAGGGCCCCATCCTGTCAAGTTTGAGCTTGATTATCTCGATTCCTATGCAAGGTATCAAAAATGTGTCAACTGATAAATCCTTTATCATAATATCACCAATGTTGAATTAGTTGACAACTTTTTGATATCTTTTACAGGAGCCGATATAAATTAGCTCAGAATTAAAAGTTAAGGGCCCTTCTATTACAGGTTGTACGGTATTGGATATTTTTATAAAAAAACTATTTAATTTACCTCAAAACTATCGTCAATGAGTTTTTTGAAAAGTTTGTCAAATTTGGCACATAGTCTAGCTATGGTCCATTCGACAATTAACTTGATGGAGAACTGTTGGCACGGATCGACGACGCATTTGATACAAAAGTCGAAGATTTTCTCGGCGAATTCCTGAAAAATGTGATTTTAGTAATTGAATTTATGGGTGGAGCCTAAATTGCCACCGTGGCACAGTTTTGCCGCATGGGTTTTTAGCACATTTGGATACGGTCGTGAGAAAAAACCTTCCCAGGGTTGCAATTTAGGCTCCGCCTACTTTTCTAGGAAAATTTCTTCTCCAGAATTCGTGGGGTCTCCGTATTGCGAACATTTTCTTCGAAATCAGAATTTTTTAGGTTTACGGTATGTGATTGGAAAATGAGATTTCTAATTTAAAATTATATTGTTCCAAAATTCCAAATTCTCACCTCATCTTCAATTCTAGTTGTCAGCAAATGAAGTAATTCCACACCTCTTGTCTTCTGTCTATGTGCCATTGAAAGACCGAACGATCTACTAGAACTTTGATCCATAACCGCGGACGCTTTAAAAATCTCTTCCATCAATGGATAGGTCCATCTGGTATTATCTTCAGATGACAGTTTTAAAGCGAGGAGTACAGCCTTAAAACGAGCCTTCTGAACCACTTCATCCAATCGTTCAATTTGATCTTTCTCAAAATGCGACTCCTCTTCTTCGAAAATTCTCGAATAGGCATACGAGATGACTCGTGTCTCTTTTTTGGGAACAGGACCAAATAACGCCAATTTGACTATAATTGGCGCCCAATTCGCGTCCAAATTAGCTCTATATTTCGTAAGAGCATCCACAATGATTAATGCAACCGGTGTACTTTGACTAGCAATCGAGAGCTGGGATTCAATATGTTCTATCGATTCTTGTGATACTTTTGGGTTGCTTTGTGAAGCACTCAGCGTTACAGTCACAAAGCAATCTAGCGCTGGGAGGCTGTTCAACGACTTCTTCTCTTCGTTTACAATATTGGAGCAAGCGCGAATGCATTGTAACGTCAATTCGGGATCAGAGCATCTTCGAATGAATCTTGACATGAGATGACATATTTGTTGTTTCACTGGGAATGCAGAAGCTACGTCGAGCTGTTCAACGCATTCAGTGAGGAAGGAGTTCACATCCACTTCTGTTATAAATCTTTAAAAAATTGAAATTGGAGTAAGTTATTCTGAAACCTACTTATTAAGAAGTTTAATCCTAAGCGAGTGGAGAATAGCCACGATGGCGTTGAACTCTTTGGTATCATATTCTTCCACTGATCTGCAAAAATGCACATATTTCAACATCTAACTATTGACATGATTCTTACTTCTTTTGTCTCTTCATCCCGATCACATCCTTGCCTCCTAGATAGTCCAAGAAGCCACGACTGAGCACTTCTAGATGATCATCAGCAACCTTCTCTACTATTGCGTCAAAGAATGTGAGCATAAAAGCAGACGATTCACAACTTTTGATCTCTGTTAACATCTTAATAACAGCCAATGCAAAAGGAAAGAACAAATGAGAACAGTATTTCGTGAATAGGGGAATGTAGAGAGAATGAAGAAGCTCGAATTCTCGTTTTGTGCCTTCATTGGACACAATTTTAGTGAGAATGTATTCTCCGAGCTCATTCTTCATGCATTCCATCACATCTGCAATTAGCTTTTGTTCTGTGTTTTATTGTTTTTGAACTTACCATCCTTACAAATCACATTGCTTGGCCGCTCTTTCAACAAGAAGAGCTGAATAGAGAGATCACTTGGCGTTTCTTCTCCCAACGTCTCAGACACTTCTAATTGAATTTTTGAGAGCATTTTCTCTTGCAATGCTTGATCGGTTCCCATTGAAAGCCACCACATTTTGGAGTGTAATCCTAGATTTTTGGCATCATCAAGAAATTTGCTCTGGAGACTTATTGGCTCTTCAACATTTTCATATTCCGTTGAAATTATGATTCGATGGATTTGGAGGAAAGTTGATTCAACCATTGCGGATGTGGCATCTTGGGAGAAGTAACCAATGAGATTACAGAGCTCCTCAAGGACAACGCTGCTCTGAAAAAAAAGGGAAATTTGTTTCTCTCCAGCTTCAAATTTAACCCACCAATCGAGTAACATTGGCGTAGAACACCACCAGGTTCCTTATCGTTGTCACTCTAATCGACTTGTGAGGAACATATCTTGCTCTCAACACAACCTGCCTCATTAGTGCCACATCATCATCATTCAAAACTTCGGAACAAGAAATACTAGTCAAAGTGGAGACAACAAAAAATACGGCAGTTGGACACGATAGGGCTCCGATTGATGTTATCAGGTTGCG